GTTAGTGGGGCCAGCAGGGGGCGCTCACCCTGCAGTCTGTGTGGGTCCTAATGCCCCAGTATAGTGACAGGGACACTATACTGTAAACAGGCGCCGTCCTTCAAATGAGACATAAAACTGAGGTCCTGACTCTCTGTGGTCATTAAAAATCCCAGGGCGCTTCTCGAAAAGAGTAGGGGTGTTACCCCAGTGTCCTGGCCAAATTTCCCATTGGCCCTTACCAATCCTGACCTCCTTATAATCCCCCTCTATGAACTGGCTTCATCACCCTGTTCTCCTCCCCACTGAGAGCTGGTGTGTGAGGAGAGTACTGGTGCACTATGGCTGCTGTTGCATCATCCAGGTGGTGGAGGGGAGTCCCCATTACCCGTAAAGCGCTTTGAGTGGAGTGTCCAGGAAAGCGCTATATAAGTGTAAGCAATTATAATTATTATATCCCCGCGTGGCCGCTATCACAAAAGCTCACGCCATCAGTGATTAGCCTATGACTTTCCCCTGCTTCACTATTTTAGTTCCCCTCTTCCCCCTGTTCCTCGCTCACTGTTGTGGTGAGTGGTCTGTGTGTGTGTGAGTGTGAGTGTGTGCCCTGCGATAGACTGGCATCCCAACCAGGATGTGCCCAGCCTGGTGCCCGTTGCTTGCTGGGATGGGCTCCGGCACGCTTGTGAACCTGATTTGAAAGAAGCAGATAGAAAATGGCTGGGCGGAATGAGAGAACACGATGTGTCAGCGTTCGCACTCTCTCAGTCTGTAATGAACGTATTTCCAAACTACGCTGAACTGCGCCCTGACTTCTTGCAGTGGGTATTGAAAATGGATGGATGGACGTTTGGTAAAAATATGTAAGTGCAGGGATTTCATCTGGGAAATTTCAAACTTGTGCAGTCACACTAAGAACAGTAACAAAAGGGCTTCTGAATCTTCCTGATGTAATAATGAAACCATTTGCTTTGCCTTGTCCAGAGAACAGATGAAGAAGAAAACCAACTGAATGTAAAGTAATTACAAGACACGAAGGATCCACATGTAACATTTAATAAAGTGAAAGAAAAATAATCCATGATTGGCCCAACGAATTGTTGTTTACGTAATGGTGCTAATAATTAAGCACAATTCTTGTCGTCAGTCTGTTTTATAATGAAACATTTTTAGTTTGTGCAAACACACCTTATTAATAAAGCTAGTATTCATTTATTAATAGGAAGAAAGACTTTAAAAATAGTTTTAGTAAAAGAATCACCTTGGAATAAGGGTTTTTATGGAGTTTCTTTTCAGCTAATCATTCTCATTAACTCTTTCATAACTTCCATTGAAGCATTGACTCAGTAGGTCACGTAGAAAACTGAGGATTCTTTTTCCATAAGACTTTAATCTTGTTATGAACGAGTTGTCTTCCTCTGCTTTCTTCCTGGCCTTCTTCACCTCTTTAACCCAGAGCTCTTCAACTGCTTCTCTCATGGCCGTCGGATCGCTTCTGTGGGCTTTCTTCAGCTTTTCTTCCTCAGCCTGGATCTGGGCCATCCTCTCCGTCAGGATCTCTTCCATCTTCTGCTGAACTGCTTTCCCTGCCACTTCATACATTTCGTTGGTGTAGAAGTGGCCACTGTTGCTCCTCATCAGGACCTCTACCTTTTCCAGGAACTGCTCTACCTGGGTGTCATTACTCCTGTCTCTATTGTTGAAGCCGTGGAACCTGTTTCCAAACTGTTCAACCAGACTTGTGAACACACTGTCTTGGACAATGAAATTCTCCAGGGTCTGCCCCTCCAAGTCATCAATACGGGTGAAGAGAACCATAGTGTACTTTGTTGCAACACTACCAAACAGGTTACTGATCTCCTTCACTGTCTTCTTGTTCTCTTGGGTGTACCTCCCCACTGTCAAAACCAGGAGGAAGACATGTGGCCCTGGAGTAGAATAGCAAACACTCTTCCCAATCTCTGTCTTAACTTCCTTCTCATCACTGTTAGGGTCAAACAACCCTGGGGTGTCGATCACAGTCAGTTTTCTGCCTAAAACCAATCTTGTCTTTTTCCTGCACTGTTGAGTTATTGTTGATGCACCAGCCTTTGACTGAAAGACGTTACACCCCAGGATAGTGTTTGCGGAAGCACTCTTTCCCATGCCGGTCAGTCCCAGGAGAATAAGCCGGATCTCCCCTGCCAGCACATGGAGAAGCCGTGTTAGAGTGATCATCAGTCCATATATTTTCTCCTACACAGTGATTCACAGTTCAGATAATTCCTTACCTCAGACAGCAATGGGTGGAGCTTTCTGCCATCAGTAACTCCAATTAATTGACCACTGTATTTCTGACCTGCTCTTATAATGCTATTGCTGACAACACAATACTTTTCCTGGCTTTCGTGATAATTCTCCTTTTTAATAACTGGAAGCTGTTTTATAAATTGGTAGTTTTCCACTTTTTCTGTCTCCTTTAACCTATATAAAGTATGAATTAATCATAATACTTTACTATATTATGACAACACAATTCTTTTCCTAGCTTTCATGATAATTTAAAGCAATTTTTGATACTTCAGACTATTTATATCTATCCATTGTGTATCCATCCAACTGCTAGCGCAAGGCAGCAATGTTAACTACTGTGCCTTCATTCCACCTTATTTAAAGTATTACGTAATTAATTAATCATTCATCATAAGTTATTCTATTTTATTAAATACTCCCAGGACACCGGTGTGTCCATTACATGTATTACATACAGGGTGTAAGTCTACACCTGTTGGAGCAAATCAAATAAATTAAAACTCAGACTGAATAAGACTTTTTATCATATTTCAAGGTGATGTAATGATTATTATAACTAAAACTAGTTATTTATATACAGTACATTATATACAGTGCACTCTATATTTATTATTATATGGCTAGAAGCCATATCACACTGCAACACACTGCCCACTGGAGCTCAGCAGGTGTGAGCCTGGTCAGTACCTGGATGGGAGACCTCCTGGGAAAGCTAAGGCTGCTGCTGGAAGAGGTGTTAGTGGGGCTAGTAGGGGGCGCTCACCCTGCAGTCTGTGTGGGTCCTAAAGCCCCAGTATAGTAAGGGGACACACAATTAGAAAAAGGTGCCGTCCTTCAGATGAGAAATAAAACAGAGGTCCTTACTCTGTGTGGTCATTAAAAATCCCAGGGGGTTTCTATAAAAGAGTAGGGATGTAACCCTGGTGTCCTGGCCAAATTTCCCCCTGGCCTTTACCAATCATGACCTCCTAATAATCCCCATCTCTGAACTGGCTTCATCACTCTGCTCTCCTCCCCACTGAGAGCTGGTGTGTGGGGAGAGTACTGGTGCATCATCCAGGTGGGGCTGCACACTGGTGGGGGTGGAGGGGATCCCCATTACCTGTAAAGCGCTTTGAGTGGAGTGTCCAGAAAAGCACTATATAAGTGTAAGCAATTATTATTATTATTATTGTTGTTGTTGATTATATGATGAGACGGGAGCAAAAACATCACATAACAAAAAAGATTTACAGATCAGATAATGCGTCTTGTTCAAGCTAATGCCAGAACATTTCTACTAGAATCTTCCCAGCACTGCGGAGAGCTGGGGCACTGCGCGGAACAGCGGGGGTTTCCCTCACAATCAGACCGGCGCTGCTATAAGAGGCTGTTCTGGCAGCGTTCACTCTCAGATACCTGTCCCCGTCAACCAGGGGAGCGGCTCAGTACTATCGATCACTGTAGATTACTGACAGAGACAAGAAACATAAGCACGCAGGTACTATATAGCATTATATTACTCTTGTTAAAATTGTTAATCCAACTGACGGTGTTTGAAAACCCCCAATTAACGATACGATATTACTTTAGGGTATAACTGACATCTTTTTTGGCTTTTTTAAAGCAGTGAAACAGCTCCCCAATGCCAGCTATTGACATACCGCAAATGGTCTTCAGCAATAAAAGAAAATTCTTACAGCCCGTTTACTCAGTGTCGGGTACCGCGGTGTTGTAAACTATTAAGTATCAGAAACTTCTGAATAACAAATAACAAATACTTCAAATCTAAAATACTCAGATCTCTATGCAAATATACAGTACGTAGACTTTGTAGAGCGGTTAGATTAACTGAAGAAACAGTTAACTGCATTCCTTAAGTTATGTCTCTTTGAGAGAATGTTCTTTTATTGTTCTGCAAAGCCTCTCCGGGTCTGGGTCCAGTTCGGAAGTCGGAGGTTCTGACAGTTCAGATCGAGAGCAGCTGACCTGCATCCTGCTCGTCTCTGGCAGCTTGAAGGCGCCGTCGCAATTCACATTCTGCCATCCCGCCGCGCTGAACTGTGCCGGTTCCTCAGTCCGGTGCTGCGCACACCTTGGATACTCTTGGATACTCCGGTACTGGATGTCTGTGCGTGTGTTTTTATAGGGGTTGCGGAATCACGCCCACATGACAGTGGGGGGAATTCCGCCAAGGTTTGCGCGGACAGCTAGTGTGGAGTCAGCTGTTGCCTTTTCAAAACTGTCTTGGGCAAATTTAAACGCAGGAGTCTTTAGCTGGAGTTTGATGAGACCGTCACAGATTCAGCTCAAAGCCGTCCCAAAAACAGGGTGATTTACCAAGACGGTATTTCTGTTCAGTTAGTGCAACAGTTCCTGAGACGATTTTCAGACTGAAGGGGGCAGGACGCACCATATGTTTCGCGGTTTATAATCAAGCACACTGCGCTCTCACAATCTCCAAGGTCTGGAATATTTTTTTCGCATGTTAAGGGTCTACAGCCCGCATCACGTTTCACACGAGAAAGGTTGGTCGAACGGGTGTTTTGACAACAGCGCATTTCCCCCTTATCGCTGTACCATTTGATCGGTCTGGTTTCTTGTAAAACACGTGACTGTGAAGAACGCTAGGAGGCAAAGCGAAAGTAATTAAGTACAGAATAGTATGGAATCAACAAACAATAATAGATTTAGTATTTTCATCCAGACTACAGTACCAGGAGACACTGTAAATCGAAGCAGTTCTCAAAGATACCTTTTTCAGTTCCTCCTTGTATACAGTACCATCAGGATGGACTCTCTTCCTGGATTACTCTGTGTTGTTAGACAGACCCTCTAAACAAGCTGTTTCTCAAGCACATTTCTCTGCATTGTTTAGATTTGTCCAGGCAGCCATGTTCTTCCTGCCCTTACCTTTTTACTTGCATTCGATTGATTTTCATGAACTTCCAAAGATGATCAAACATAAAGTCGCCAGTCCTTACAAACATCAAGTATTACAAATATAATTGAATATAAAGTCTGCTGTCATACTTTTCCATTCAGACAGGGGGTATAGTGCCGGGGAGAAAGGAGGGTGGAGAAAAAAGAATAAACTTCAAGAAGATCTAGTCATTATCATTGGGTAACAGAAATAATCCACATCTCCCAGTGTCTCTCCAAGGCCTCCTTCTGGAGTCTTAACTGGCCGGTTCAGTTTTCCATTTCATAAAGCTCTGAGACAAAACCAATCCAGTTTTCTCTGGCAGGGGGATCTTTCTGTAACCATTTGTGTGTTATAGCTTTCTTGATAGAAAGCAAGTGTTTCTCTCTTCCTGCGACGGATGCAGGGCATTCTCACCTTATACTCATCTTCCCTTCCACACCCACCCAAGAGCAGTAGACACAGCAGAAGAGGGACAGAGCAAACCAATTTGTTCCAGCCCTCTGGTTATGGAAATGTCTTTACAGGGCACTGTCCATTGCCCAGACAATTACACTTCCTCACACTGAGGCGTGCTGACTGAAACTGTGGGTGAAGAGCTCACCAAAAGCGTTTCCTTATTCCTTCTCATCATCTATAACCAGCTTATGCACTTTGTAGTACAGGCATCTGATGTGTCAGAGAGAGTCTTGAAAACGCTTTGCCAGATCACAACAAGAAAAGCAAATGGATTGTGAAAAACACTTTAAAATGCTGTTAAAAGTGACCAAGACAAGCTGAAGAGAGTAATTCGAGCTGTAAAATGCAATAAGAAGAGAGGGAGAAAACCCAGAGTACTGTACAGTATATATAAATACAGCTCTCTGGTGCGGCTCCCATGCCACCTGATGAAGGTTAGCTGTCGACACACACTTCACCCGTTTGTGACCGTATTTCAGCAGCAGTCCTGCCACTTGGGGTCAATGAGGAACATGAAATGAATGAATAAGAAATCAGACTATCAGAATTAACACTATTATGTATCATTATATATCTATATAGCCAGCAGCCATATCACTTTGCAACTCACAACTGGTAACCCACTGAAACTAAGCAGGTGTGAGCCTGGTCAGTACCTGGATGTGAGACCTCCTGGGAAAGCTAAGGCTGCTGCTGGAAGAGGTGTTAGTGGGGCCAGCAGGGGGCGCTCACCCTGCGGTCCATGTGGGTCCTAATGCCCCAGAATAGCGACGGGGACACTATACTGTAAACAGGCACCGTCTTTCAGATGAGACATAAAACCGAGGTCCTGACTCTCTGTGGTCATTAAAAATCCCAGGGCGTTTCTCGAAAAGAGTAGGGGTGTTACCCCACTGTCCTGGCCAAATTTCCCATTGGCCCTTACCAATCATGGCCTCCTAATAATCCCCCTCTATGAATTGGCTACATCACTCTGCTCTCTTCCCCACTGAGAGCTGGTGTGTGGTGAGCGTTCTGGCGCACTATGGCTGCCGTCGCATCATCCAGGTGGGGCTGCACACTGGTGGTGGTGGAGGGGATCCCCATTACCTGTAAAGCGCTTTGAGTGGAGTGTCCAGAAAAGCGCTATATAAGTGTAAGCAATTATTATTATGTAACCTTGTTTTGTAACTTTAATTTTGTGATTTTTACCGCCCCTGGTTAGCTCGCAGAAAAGACATTTCATTGCCAGCAACTACTGCTGCACGCTGTATTGCTGTGCATTTGAGAAATAAACTTTGATTGATTGACTGAACATCACAGTTCACAAAGCGCCAAGTTTCCCCTATATAATACTTACCTTATAAAATAGTAAGAGCAATTCTTGACTCTCAAAACATTTAAAACAACCAATTCTCAGAAGCTTTTATTAAAGTCTGACCCTAAAGAGTTTTTCCCTTGTACAAAGTGAAACTTTTTCTTAAAATTCTCATTTTAAGTGGGTTTTGATTGAATCCAACGACTTTCCTTATCTATTTAAATTTTCTGTCCGTTTCAGAATGCCCGTCTTAAAAAGTAATTGCTTTCCTGAACACATTTTAATCTAACCTGCCTTTCTCGGTGTGCCTTCAGATAACAAGAGGTGTGTTACAGAATTCTGGGAAAACCACATATAAGGAAAATTAAAAAAAAGCAGCTTCAGGTTTTATACCAAAGTGTACTGTTGCGTGTTTGGATAGAGGTCACACTCTGAGACTGTTTGTGTTGGGTGCAAGCTCAGTTTTCCACACTTGACAAGTAGTAAAGTAACAAACAAGAAGATCAGGAGCTCCGTCAGGTCACAGTCCAGACTGTTCGAACACACCACAGAGATAATGAGCTCTGAACTCTGGTGTGGAGTAGGGGAGAGGGGCATGTGTGTTAGCGCTATACTTAAAGTTTCTAGTTTATATTTGGACCAATGTGTTGTGGGGCTGGTGACAGGCATGCGATGGCGCGATGCACAGTGCTTGATGTCGAATCTTGAGTGGGCAGTGGGAAAAAGCTGAGAAGGGCTGATTTGAGCCGAGGACAGCGTTCACAGTTTGTGAGTTTTCTTGCTGAGAAAGAAAAGAGACGGGTCAGTTCCACATCTTCCATGGGATTCTGAAGCCCCTCATGTTCAGCCACGCCAGTGCCAGGGCCACAGCCAAGCAGGCCATGGCGGCCCAGTGCTTCCTGCCCGGCCGCCAGAGCTGGGCTTTCCTCCTGCCCTCCATGCTCCGCACTGCGTCAAGAAGCTGGGCGACCTGCTGGCGGTCTTCAGGCTTCTTGTTGTCAAAGACATGGTAGCGGCCCCCGCACCTCTCCACCAGCCTGCCCAGCTGCACGTTGGCCCGGATCTCCTCCTCCACGGTCTCCCCGTCCTGCAGGCCGTCCCCATGCGTGAAGAGGACCAAGGCCTGCTCGTAGAAGCCCCGCCCGAACACCCTGGCGAGTCTCTCTACCTCCGCCCGCTCCGCCGGCGTGAAGCGGCCCACTCTGACCGACACCAGGAAGACCCGCGGCCCCGGCCCGCACAGAGCGAGGCACTCCTGGGCGCTGTCCAGCGGGCTGGGAGTGTCCACCACCACCACCGCCCCTCGGCCCGCTGCCTCCGATGCGCTCTCTGCGCGCTCACAAGCCTGCGTCACTCTAGAGGAGCCGGCTCTGGACTCAAACGCCTTCCGGCCCAGGATGGTGTTTCCTGATGCACTCTTCCCGGAGCCCTCCCTCCCGACCAGCACCAGGCTCAGAGCTAGACAACGACAGAAGCACAGTCTGGTTACCACACCGCAATGGCAAGAGCAACGAGCGCCCACTGCCCTTCGTGTCCGTGTCAGTGTAGGTGCGGCGCTGTAACCCCCCCGAGTCCTACGCCTGCTCCATTCTGTACCGAACCCCGCGGTCGTTACACTACAGAAGAAAAAATATTTTAAGATCGTCTTTTGTTATTTCAGTTTCACCCAGGCTCGAAAACGTCTTTAATATATTTAAATTCGTATTTATTGCAAAGAGAAAAGTGTATAACATTAGCTTTCCTACCAGAATCTCCCGTCATCTTCTCTTCTCTTCTCTTCTCTTGATCTGGGCAGGGTGTTGAAGTCTCGCAAGTGAGCGCTGCTCTCTCCGCGCCCGGCGCTTTATTCCAAAAGAAACCTCTGCGCCTGTATTAGTAACTGGCTAGAGACCGCCTTCCTTAAAAACCCCTCCTCTCCAGAGATAAAAAAAAACAGAATTAGAAATAAAAGGTTGTTATAGAAAACGTTAAATGTAACTATATTTTAAGCATCATACAAAAATGGGCGTTTTAGCCAAGATACTAGTACATCTTATTTTGTATGTAACTGTTTCGTCATATAACACTTTTTAGAAAACTTTTGGGAACTTGTAAGTGTCGGCGCTGGAAAATGACGGCTTATTAAACCCTGCCCCTTGTGCAGTCATCACGGATGACAGCCTTGCAAGTCCTCTATCAAATGAATAGGAGGCTGGGCGCTTTCAAATGACGTACTCAAGACTTTCTAGCGAGGCCAGTTAATTAAGCCGCGCGGGACGCAGATCGGGTCTTAGGAAACGATCTAGGAAGGGGTTTTGTAACTTTAAAGCAGTGGAAGCAGAACCTTTAAATGCTGGGCAGTGTGTTTCTGTGCCCTCTCCTCGCTTCTCTCTGTGTAAAGACCTCACACTGACACATTGATGTTTTTATTTCTTTCTTTTTTCTTTCTGAGATGTATTTTAACTTGTTGTTGCCGCTGTTCTGTGTTTTATGTGTTTGGTGTTTCCTTGATGTCTTTGCATTGGAGCATACGTGGAAATAAACAGTTCATAATTATCATTATTATTATTATTATTATTATTATACATTCCGAGGGGAAGACGGACCATTCCAAACAGCAACATTGTAACACTGTCTGCTGAAAATAACTAGTTCATAATTATCATTATTATTATTATTATTATTATTATTATTATTATTATTATTATTATTATTATTATGACCTCTCCCATTGCTTGAAACACTTGTACCTCCGGTTTTTGCTTCAATGTTCCCGTTGAGTTTATTCTAAAGATCTTTTACAAGGGATTTTCTTTCATTGTTAATCAGCTTTCCTCCTGGTTCCCCCCTGTGTGGGTGTCACAGACCCTGCGTCTGGAGTGTGGGTGTCACAGACTCACAGTTTATTTACACAGCACATTTGTTGTAGTTATCAACAGATAACTGACAACAGACAACTGGTTGGGCTAGCGATACAGCAGGAAGTAAATTGCACTGGCGCCTGGTCTGGGCGTGTCGGCCATAAGCACTGCCACTGTCTCCTTTAAATGATCCTTGGAAATAAACTGTCAGATTTCCGCACATCGCTCCACGCTGTTTTCATATTGGCAATTAATCAATTATGATTCCAGTGTTACATTATTTTAATTGATAGCGCGCACGCCGGATTCCAATTAAACAATTAGCGGCGATTTTGTATGACGAGGGACTTTATTTTGTATATTTAAGTACTCTCCCACTCTCTCTTTACAAAAAAAATAATCTATGACTCTACTCGAGAAGAACAACGTGTTTTCTAAAAGGGTATGAAAGCGGTTTAAGGAATAATCTGGAGAATTTGCCCACGGTCATTTAAAAACGCGGAGATAAAGCGGGCGGCTTAGTTCACGCCAATCAAATACAAAAATATAATGTCGGTCTCGCAGCCATTTGCTCTCGGCGTTGTGCTGTCCACGCTGTGTGTGTTCGTGACCCACAGCCAGGGATTCGCTGCCTGGCTTGGGGATATTTCAAGGAACCGGGCCCGAACCCGAGTTCGCCCGGACATACCGGGCCCGATCTCCCCCCGGCTCTCGCCTCCCCCAGCCCCCGCGCCCGACGTGCAGCTCCGAGCGCAGGAGAGACCCCGGATCAGGGTGCAGTGCGGGGAGGCCACGGTGCGCGTCTCCGTGGACAGACTCTATTTCGGGGAGCCCGGCCCGGTCAGCGCCGCCTCTCTCCGCCTGGGGGAGGACCCCCGGGCGCCCGGCAGCTGCACGCCGGAGCCCACGGCCTCTGTGCCGGGCGCGGCGCTGGTCATCACCGCCCGCCTGCACGAGTGCGGGAGCGTCTCTCGGGTAAGCCTGCGCACAAGGAGGTCTGTTCGCCGTTGGTTTCTTTAGTCTGCAGGCTCGACTTACTTATTTTCGAGACTGGAAAGTGTTGGTTAGAACTATTTCGATGTTTTTGTTCGTTCCTTTTTTTCTAATTGTGAAAGTAGTAAGAAGCAATTTTATATTTTATATTTTATATTCTATATTCTATATCGCCAGCAGCCATATCGCCCTGCACCTCACGACTGGCAGCCCACTGAAGCTCAGCAGCTGTGAGCCTGCCCGGTACCTGGATGGAGACCTGCTGGGAAAGCTTAGGGTGTTGCTGGAAGGTGTTACAAGGTGTTAGTGGGGCCAGCAGGGGGCGCTCACCCTGTGGCCTTTGTGGGTCCTAATGCCCCAATATAATGGGGACACTATACTGTAAAAAGGTGCCGCCCTTCTGATGAGACTGACTCTCTGTGGTCATTAAAAATCCCAGGGTGTTTCTTGAAAAGAGTAGGGGTGATACCCTGCTGTTCTGGCCAAATTTCCCCCTGGCTTTTACCAATCCTGGCCTCCTAATAATCCCCCTCTCTGAACTGGCTTCATCACTCTGCTCTCCTCCCCACTGAGAGCTGGTGTGTGGGGAGAGTACTGGTGCACTATGGCTGCTGTCGCATCATCCAGGTGGGGCTGCACACTGGTGGGGGTGGAGGGGATCCCCCTTGCCTGTGGAGTGTCTAGAAAAGTGCCATATACGTGTAAGAGATTGTGTATTTCCCCCCCACATACAGTTCATAGCTCATTTTCTTCAAATAGGCCAAGTAAGCTGACAACACCAGGTTCAGACCAGGCTTGCCTGGGCAGTAGCTGGAAAGCCCACCGGAGCAGGAGAGGTGGGCTGGCTCTGGCCAGGGTCCAGGGCTCTGCGGACTCTCCCGGCTCTTCTTCCCCTCCTCTCCAACCCGGGAGGTTATTCCTTTGCCCGTTTCCTAATGGGGGGGACGGCTGGGACTGTGGTGGTGACAAAACCTGGGTTCTCCTCCTTCTGCCGCTTTGTGACCCTGGTCTTCCTCAACTTGTGGATATTCGGAAGGGCTCTTAAAGGGTTTGTGTTCATAGTGCTGCCTGTCCCTCTGCAGGTGACCCCGCAGGCGCTGGTCTACCTCAACAAGCTGGTCTACTCGCCCTCCCCGGCCGGCGGCGTGCTCGAGCGGGCCTCTCCCGTGCTAGTGCCCCTCGAGTGTCACTACAGGAGGTGAGCCCCGCGCTCGTGCCCCTCGAGTGTCACTACAGGAGGTGAGCCCCAGGGCGCGCTCGTGCCCCTCGAGTGTCACTACGGGAGGTGAGCCCCGCGCCCGCGCCCCTCGAGTGTCACTACGGGAGGTGTGCCCCAGGGCGCGCTCGTGCCCCTCGAGTGTCACTACGGGAGGTGAGCCCCAGGGCGCGCTCGTGCCCCTCGAGTGTCACTACGGGAGGTGAGCCCCGCGCTCGTGCCCCTCGAGTGTCACTACGGGAGGTGAGCCCCGCGCTCGTGCCCCTCAAGTGTCACTGCGGGAGGCGGGCTCTGGGGATGATCCCTGCCAAGCCTCAATAGCTGGACACGTTCTCTTGATCTGTCGCCTGATGAAAACACCGGTCTCCTCCGGAGGTGTGCGGGGCAGTGAAAAGCGTTGTCTAACAGCTCTTTGTTGCAGGAAGCACAGAGTGAGCAGCGAGGCCGTGCGCCCCACCTGGCTGCCCTTCACCTCCACCCGCTCCGCCGGGGGGCTCCTGCGCTTCTCACTGCGGACCATGAACGGTGAGGCTCCCCGGATCACACAGCGCCCCCTGCAGGGCTGTCTGCTCATTTTTAGCATCCCTTCAGGACAGGACTGGACAGCCCTGCTTTAAAGAGACCTGGAGAGACCGCGGACACACTGACCCCTCCAGGACCAGGACTGGACAGCCCTGCTTTAAAGAGACCTGGAGAGACGGCAGACACACTGACCAGTCCTGGACATGGTTTCTGGGTCTGTAATCTGGCAGCACCAGAAGAGATGGAAAATATCAAAGCGCTCTTATTGTTGGGTCAGGAAGCCCTGTACTGGAATGAAAACCTGCAGAATTGGGGAGGGACAGCTTTAAACACAAACACTCAATCTGAGGTAGTGGGCAAGCCAATGGTAGCACACAGGAGTCTCCAGCCCCAGAGAGCTGCAGGGGGCTTCAGTCTTTCAGGCCAGCCTGACCCAGCTGGTTGATTAAGGGGTCTGGATGGAGGTCTGCACTACCCCTGTATAAAGACCCCTGCCATGATCCACTCTGGACTGTGGGGCCAGGAACCAGGAACCTGAGCTCTGAGCCACCTCTCCGTCTCTCCCCAGAGGACTGGGGCTCCCCCCGGCTGTCCAGCGTCTTCTACCTGGGGGAGACCGTGCGTCTGGAGGCGGCGGTCAGCTCCCAGGGTCACCCTCCTCTGCGGCTGTTTGTGGACCGCTGCGTGGCCACGCTGAC